ATCTGCTGCAGAGGAGTCTTTGTTTGTCCATCTCAATACATGGCCAGAATGTTTCTCCTTTTCTATTTTTACTGTTACCTGGTAGCTCACTTGCACTGCTAAAACAAGTGCAGGAAATATTGTGCCAGCTGGAAGTTAACTCACACATAATGCAAGGCTGACATAGGGCAGGGGAAGGAGAAAGAGGATCATAAAACACACTGGTCACTAATCACTGGTAATGCTACTTCTGTTATTTCAAACCATGTTCCAACTAGGAAGGAAAGAAGCATCTTTTAATTTTCAGCTGAGGATACTGTACTGGTTAGATTTAAGTGACTCTCTTCTTTTTAAATTAATAAATATAATTCTAATGTCTCATATATTACTATAATAATAACAATTAATATATTTTATATATTTTAATATGCTATAATTTAATTCCATGCCTTTCCAAGAACAAAAGTTCTTCTTTCCTACTATTATTTTGGCTGTCAGTTCTGCTTCTAAAACTAGTCTGCTGCACAGCTATTCACCAAATTTTAAGTAAATATGCAAAAAATAACATAGACATATTTGACTTATGTCAATGTTTTCAAAAGCCCAGCAAAATAAGAGCATTCAGTGTTCTTGTGCACACAATAACCTGATTACACACACAAAGAAACAACCAGGCTCTTTGTTCTTTTGGGTTTTGTGTCAAGTCTGGGTTAGAAGATGAAATTTGAGGTAAAGAGGACACTAATATCATAATCATTTGGTAGGCCTAATTTCTCCCCCTTCAACAACCTGCAGATTTGGAAAGAGCAGATCATCTTTGCATGCACTGGTCAAACTGTCATCAAAGTGATCAAACAGATTAAAGAAGAAGTGATAACCCAGAGGACACTGGCAAAACTAACTTGTGAATGGACAGGACAGAGACCAACTGGTGGACAAAACGTTTTTGAGCAGATTTCAGGGACAAGGAAGAAAATATTACCAAATCTCTCCTCAGAGAGGAAAAGACAAGGCAGCGGGAGAGATGACACAGGGTGCAAAGCAGATGAACATCCCTGAGACATTTGTCACTGGCTGGACGGTGAGACATTGACATTAATGAGGGTGGCATTTGGAAGATAAAAGCAGTATCTCTGCAGCAGACAATGCAGTTGTGAGACACGACGCACAGGGATATGGTGTAATCAAAAGGGACTGGAGAATGTTCACAGCCAGGAAAAGCATCACAATCACTACTGGTATTCATGGCAGAATATGGATCAGGAATAAATGGCTTATGGTTTTATCTAGAAGGCTGGTGGAGATTGTGGGTTATTTTACCTCTCAGCCCAGTCAATTCCCATCACATTCCTTCATTGAAGGACTCTTCATCAGTCATTCACTTACACCTGCCTTGCCAAAAGTCACTGTTTCATTGACAAGTGCTTTTCAGGCAGCAGAGCTCTGGAGGCTGGCTCAGTTGATAGTAAGTGGGATTTACAGGGGTGGAGGCAGTTGCCTGTGATTATCTCCTAGTGAAAGCAAGTGGAGAGCTGGGAGATACCCGGAGCACCGTCTGCCAGGACACAGGCAATCAATTGAAGTGAGCAAGATTTGGCTGCCCCTCACAGATGCCTCAGAGTGCCACTACCCCAAAAATGACATGAGCTGTGTCGGAGAGACACTCCTGCCCCGACCCATAGGATTTTAAAAGTCACTGTTAATTAATAATCCCCTGTTCTCATGTCTGGTGTCAGCCATGTCTCAGACCTCATTTTTTATTCCAATGCTTTTGGATATCTCTGGTCTCTCTCCAAAAGGAGAGGATTTTGTGGTCCTGGGATAGAATGAGACAAACCTGAGCATCTCAGAATAGGTTTCCTATCCCCAGATTCATTCTACCACCGCTGTTCCACCGCATACTCATGTATTGTCCCTCTGACCAGCTTTTCCTCAGAAAATAAAGCTACCATTTCAGCACTGAGAGAAAGACAGTCAGCAGCAACAGTAAACAAATACATCGATCTGCTGGTCCACCCGCCTCCTTCTTCCTTCAGATAACTGGCACAGAGCACCAAGCATCCGGAGAGTGTTGAGGATGAGGTCTAAGCTGCGGCAGCCCGAAACCTTGACTAGCCCGGGACGGGGCTCCTGTGAGCGAGTGGCCGGCGGTGCGGGTCGGGCCGGGGCCGGGGCCGGGGCCGGGGCCGGGGCCGGGACCGGGGCCGGGGCCGGGGCCGGGGCCGGGGCCGGGCCGGGCCGGGCCGGGCCGGGCCGGGCGCTGTCCGCGGTGCTGCCCGGCCCTGGCGCTGTCCCGGCCGGCGCCGAGCGGGACACTCACTCAGTGCCAGCCCTCTCTCGGCCCCATTGCCAGAGCTTGGCCGCTCTCCCCGCAGCGCTTGCACTCGCCGTCCGCGGCTCGAAACACTCAGCATCTCCGACAGAGGAGGGGAAAACACACTTTTAAAAAACAAATAAATAAATAAATAACACATAGGGTAATCATACTCTGAAGAAAGTTTCAGTGGCGGATCCAGCAACGAAAGCCAGACTAACCCGATATGTGCTAAGGACAAGGTCTTTCTGCTTCCTCATTAATGCTTCATGCAAGAAGTGCAGCCGCACATGAAAGTAACCATGTCCCTGTCCTACTGCAGAGTTTTGAGGGCATCCCTGTTGTCCTTCAATACCGTCTCTCTGCTTTGATACAAAAACATTGAAAGAGTATGGCAAAGCAATAGAAGAAATCTGACTGAATCAATCACAAACAAGCCCAGCAAGACGGATTATGGGAAAAGAAGGTGTATTCTTGAGTAACGACTGGCGTCAGAGTAGTTAAAATAGAACAGAAAAGCCTCTTGAAAAGTCAATTCTTATGTAGATGAGGTGACCAGAGAGATTTTCTCTCCCTTCGAGGGCTCACTGAATTCCTAATTTGCCCTTAGAAACCCTAGAGGAATGACGAAGAAAGGGCGGTAATATTGGGATTGCTATTCGTAACAGATATTACCGTGATATGGATTATTGCCTAGAAATGCACTGAAAATTAGGGGATGCAATGCCATTGTCTCAGCCAAGCTATTTGTCTTGACCTTCGGCTTTGTCCATCCAGGCTGAACAAACTTCCTGCAATGAGCATCGCTGTCTGCCACCCACACAACTTTGATCTCTCTAGGTCGCGGAAAGGGAAAGGGGACAAGAGGCAGCTTCCCCTCCGAAAAAGAGCACTCGCAGAAGTTTATACAACAGCCAGAAAAACGTAGTGTTAAACAATAAACTGGGAAATGCACTGTCCTGTTAAACAGAGAGTAGTTTGCACAGCATTGAGAACCCGCCAATATATATCATATCAATAAAAAGGAGCTCTTCGAAAGCTTGCATAGTAATTGAGATTGGAGATCTTTTTTGATATGGGTTGGCATTTCCTCATATCAATCTGACAGAGCCAACTCAGGAAATTGCTGGTAATATTCATCTGGGGAGCACTTTCATTAAACGTAATTCATTCGACTTTCACAATAAATTGAGTGACATCCTTACAGCAGAACCTTTTTATCCTTGATGAAGTGCTTGCCAGCCTTTGGTTTTCCACTTTATTGTCACATTCCTTAAAGCGGAATCGTCAACATGTCAATCTGCTGCATGAAAAAAATGCTAAAGCTGTATTTACAAAGCACCCAGGAGGTGGTTTAATGCTGACTTACAAGAAGAGCGAGCTGGGTGTTAAACTATCTGCTAAATCACATTAATACTTCACCCAAATCCAGTCGGGAGAACAGAAGCCAATCCTAGGAAGGGTAAGATGGTTCACACATTCATTTTCTCCAAGTTCTGGCTATTCCGAACAATTGGTTTCTTAACCTGCTTCACTGCACTTTCCAAGACGATTAGGAAATGGGTTTTTTGTTAATTAAAATGGCGGTTTAGAGATGCAGAGAAATATTAAAAAGGTTAAAATGGATACCTCTAGGTGCCATACAAACTTGGGAGATTTGTCTATTCGAAGAGAGGTAGGGATGTTGGATTGGATTATATTGAGGTACCTCCCCAGAAGATGAAATCTATTCCAGATTGCTTTCTCCAGCTGTATACTAAATTAAAATAGTGTGTACTAAGCATCAAGAAAAAGAAAGTTCAGTGCAGGGAAACCCCTTCTAAAACTAGCACAGGTCTCTGGTGGTTAGGAAGCAAGGAAGCCTGGAAAAGAGCACACTATCCTCTGCTTGGAGGGGAAAAAAAAAAAAAAGCACAGATAAGTTTGTTCCACCTACACGAGGTCGGAGTCCCGTTGTTATTCCCATGTCTTACCTTCCGAGAGGGTAAGTTTTTCCCTTTACACCACCGCTACAGCCTCTCTCAAACTCGTTTAGAAATAGGGAGCAGGAGCTTCTCAAGGCTACGTAAACACCCCCACACAAAAAGCCACTACTCTCCCTGCCCGCTAAGCGCTCTCCCCCGCCCTCCCTGCCTTCGACGTCAATTTGAAAATTGAAAGAAATCGCTTATTTGGGGAGAAAAAAGCAATACCCGAATGCATTCACTACCAAATGCCTATGAGAAAATACTGTGGGTGGTGATTACGATAGGACAATGCCTCCTGTCTCTTTTGTTTTCTGCCTGTAGAGGTGTAGGTTTGTTTGTTGTTTGTTGTTTTTTTTCTTCCATGACAAAGTAGGTCACAATCAGCAACAATCTTTAAAAAGAAAGAAGAAAAAAAAATCAGCTTATCTTCGCCGGCACGATATTTCCTCACGCTCACCACAGCTTCCATTAACCGGTGCGAAATGACCGCAAACAGTGCGACGCGCAGCGAAATTAAATGTACACAAACTCCGGAGCCTCTAACCCCCTGTTTACCCCCTCAGCAAATACTGTACCAAGTGTGCCATCGCGGAGGACAATTTTAAACCTCTGTTATTCACAACAATTTTGCAGAGAAGCTCCTCTCGGCTGTCAGAAGGCCTCCAAGCTACAGTGACGGTGTGAAACAGACCTTAAAATCCCAGCCCGGCACGGGGGAAGGTTAGCAGGCTGTTTCCGAAGCCCCTCTGCCAAAGCCATCGCCGTGTTTAACAAGATGCCCCGTGAGCCCCGCAGTTCTACTCCCTTGGCAAAGCGCCGCGCAGGAAAGCTCCCCCCGCGAAAGAGCCTTCACCGCGGGGTGGATAAACCACCCCTCCTTTCGTTCTTGCTCTGCTTAACTTCTGCACAGAGTTAAAGCACTCTGCTACCCAGCTCCAGAGAGTATCCTAATTAAACCCACCGCTGAATAAACACTTTGCTGGGAGAAGACTACCAAGCCGGGCGAGGGATGAACTGGGGGAGTGATCCTTATCCTAACAGCATGCCACGCAAAATTCCGACTGATTTTAGTTCCGTACCAGCTACTCCGGTGTAGGAGCGCCTAAATAATGAGCCGAAGTCTCTTTGAGCCAGGATGACCCCAGCAAAAGAGGTGCATGTACCCACCCCGCGCTTGTGCGGTGCGGGAAGGTCTCCACAGAGGGGTGGGAGTGGAGCCTGCGGCCGTGCCGGGGGTGAAATCCCGCCGTGTGCGAGCCCTTCGCTGCCGGTGCCGCCGGCGCCGGGGGTGCGCAGGGCCCGGGCGGCGGCCGGGGAGGGGAGCGGCGGGACGGGACGGGACGGGACGGGACGGGACGGGACGGGACGGGACGGGACGGGACGGGACGAGCGCCCGTCGCCGCCGGGAGCCACGGGGCACAGCCCGCCGTGCCCCGCCGCACGGAGCGGCTCCGCAGCTGCCGGCACGGAAGCGATCTGCCGCCTCCTTCGAGGGCCTGCTTGACCTGTCCCTCTGAGAAATAATACTCAGGATCCTCACCGTTCTTCCTAACAGCCCGCGCGTCCTGTTACTTCTACAGCTTGCTGCTTCCACATAGGAGGGGAAAAAATAAGGAAGAAATGAAAAGAAACAGCCTGGCCTTTTATTGTCCTGTGGCGTCGGACTGGAAGTTCACCGGCAATTACGCAGGAGGTACAACGAGAAGGTTTCCCTTAAAGAAATGGTGTAAAATCCCAGCGTCCTTATAAACAGATCTCAATTCTATGAGAGACTGCGATCTCCAGATGTTATTTTGGTCTTTTTTCTTTATTATTTACGTTCTTCCTCACTGACGATTTTTAGCTCAGCTCAGCACTGTTAGTTAAGGAAACATCATCCATTAGAATCAGTCTAAGATGCTTTTGAAAGAACAGCAGTGATGCGGAGTGTCGTGGTAAACGAGACCTAATGTAGGTATTTTAATACTTTCTGCAGCTTTCTAAAAGTAGAGAAGAAAACAACTGCAAGACTTTAAACTATTTAAAGGTTAACTCCTAATTCTGACAAATAAGTACTAAGTTTTTAGGCCAAAAGAAATACACTAACACTTCAAATCAAATATAACACTTTCAATACACTGCACAGCTCGAAATAAGGAGAAAATGAACCTCGCAATGCACAACTAACGTTCTTTTCAATAAACATAATATGGTGAACCATCTCTACACCAGCAAAATTCCTACTCTTTCAGATCGGCCACGATCCCTATAAATTTCAGGCAATAAGGCTGGATACCATATGACTCTATTAAAAGGGGAAGAAAAGATTTCTTACAAAGAAACAGGGGAGGGAGAAAAAAAGATTAAAAAAAAAAAAGAAAAAAAAAAAGGAAAAAGAGCAGCGGTTTGCTAAGTGAAGAGAAATTGCAAGGCAGACAGTGTCAGTAAATGAGTGACTTCAAGGCAGCCCAGCCTCACTGCAGCTGTTCACTCTCCATGAACACTTCCTAATTCAGGCAAAGGGGAAACAGGCTATTTTCCCTCTCACCTATATTATTAACCCCTCTCAAAAAGGGTATTTTTTTTAAAAAAACTCTATAGGAAGCTGTTTGTGCTGCCATTTCATTTACCCTCCTAACAGTCTGAGCATTGAAAATTTAATTCCTAATTGAAACTGCTTTTGTCCACGCGGAGCGACGTGCACATATAGATAGACACAACAAAGTGCTGCACCTTGCTGCTTTGTGGCGCCACATTAAAGCTTTAATCAAAACTTCATGCTTCGGTGCTAATAAACAGTTTGTTATGATGTGATAGCCTAATGCAAACTTTCAGAGTCACTCCTGAAATACAGAGAATAGGGGGAGATTGGCACAGACGTGGAAGTATCGAGTTAGAAGGAAGAATAGTGCTAGGGAAATCCTTTGGATCCTCCCCGAGTGTTTTGGCAGAAGATACAGACCAGCTGAAGGGCGCATTCCCTCCCCCTAGCTTGTCTTTTATTCCCGACTCGTTGTTTTTTGGTTTTTTTTTTCTGTATCATATTTCGCATTGTTTCGAGGGAAACTTGAAAATCGTCTCCTTCACTCTGCAATGCCAAATCCTCAGGAAGAAAAAAAGTATTCAGGTAATGAAGTCTGTAACTAAACGGTAATTGAATCAGCATAATTTGCACACTGAATGGTTTTCAAATGCTCCCAGTTTACAATTAAAGGAGAATTAATGCGCTTGTTGTTCAGACTGCAGCGCATTAGAATAAATCCAGCACTGTTGTTGTAATGAGTCGAGAGCAGTTTAACTGCCAGCAAACACATTTAAAATTTAACACGACGTATCGATCTCGCTCCGGCTTTTTGATGGATTATTTGCCACGCACTTTTCTCCCCATTTCCCCCCACCCCTCCACCCCCACCCCGGCTATAAAATTCGCAGGGAGGAGAGACGCCCGCGGCAGACGTGGCACCGCCCGGCGAGGGCAGGACCCCACGTCGGGCGGGCACGGGAAGGGCCGGGAGGTGCCGGGCCGGGATGGGGCGGGATGGGGCCGGGATGGGGCCGGGATGGGGCCGGGATGGGGCCGGGATTCGGCCGGGATTCGGTCGGGCCGGGCCGGGCCGGGCGCGGCGGGCGCTGCGCGGGCGCGGGAGGAGCGCGCGGGAGGAGCGCGCGGGGCCCCGCCCGCGCCGGGCCCGCGCCCGATTGGCTGCTCCGCGCGGGGCCGCGCGCGCTGCCCCGCAGCGCCCCCGGGCGGCGCGGCCGCCACAGCGCAGGGAGCGGCGGCGCGGGCAGCGCCCGGAGCCCCGGGAGCCCCGGGAGCCCCGGGAGCCCCGGGAGCCCCGGGAGCCCGAAGAGCTCGGGAACCGGAGCGGGAACCGGAGCCGGGCCGTCGCCGTCACCACCCCCAGCACGGGCGCCAGTGTGCTTCTCTCGGCAACGCTCCTGGAAAAAGGTCTTTTCCCTCCCCCGCAGCCACGGGGATGAGCTGCCGCCAAGCGTTTGCCCGCTTAACGCATCGCAAGCGAGAGAGGATGCAGACTGCAAAGGAGCAGTCTGCCTGGGTTTTGTTCCTTGCAATCGTAGCGGGAATAAAGTGTATGTGTGTGAGAGAGGGGAGATAACGCCGATGTTTACTCGTGTTCCCGCGGTAATCCTAAAGGAGATTTGCTACGAAAGTCAATGACACTTCTTGCAGAAAATACTAGCTGCGCTCGCCGCCGAGTGCCCTCCCGCCGGTGCCGCACCGCCCGTAGTGGCACACTGCGGGGCTGCCCTTCCGGAGGGGCTCCCACCCTCAGGAGGGAGCAGAGGGCAGGAAGTTGCCTCCATCCCACAGCCTGGCCGGGCGCCCCCGCGGCGGTGCTCCGGTGCCCACGCAGACACCCGGGGACCCGGTCCGGGAGTAGCACCGAGGGACGCGGCCCAGGAGACCCTGACCCTGCTCTGGCCCAGCGGAGCACTCTTTCCCCGCGGAGAAGTTACAGGTCTGCGCCCCCACTCCGCGCGCCCCGCCGAGATTTCCCGGGAGATTTCCCGGGACCCGCACCGCCCCGGCCCCGGGAAGCAGGGCTGGCTGCGGGGTGCAAGTAGTTGCCGTGAGTTTGCTCGTTCTCCGCCAGGCTGGCGCCCTCCTCCCCGAGGAGCTTCCCCATGCCTGGCCCGTGCGAGGGGCCGGGGACACTCACCAGGTAGAGAGTGGGCTGCAGGAGAAGGACCGCGTACCAGTACACAGCCTGCATCCTCGCCGCTCAAACTTCCCCCGCGCTGCTTTCGCTGCCTCTTTGTTTCTTCCAGAACATAGATCCACCTGACATCCACTTTACAGAACAAGCAGAGCTCTCACCAGCCTAGACAAAAACGAAATTATAGATCCCATGACCACAAGACAAGGTTAGGCTCAGCACAAGGGGGGAAGAGAGGTGTGTAGGGAAAGAGGGGCGGGGGGGGGGGGGGGGGGGGGGGGGGGGGGGGGGGGGGGGGGGGGGGGGGGGGGGCGGCAGCAAGAGAAGGAGGAGATGGGGTGTGTGAATGGGGGTGGGGGAAACAAAAAACGATTAAAATCGAGTTAATCCAGCGTCAAAGCAAAGTGATCGCACGGTCCGAGGTGGCGGCAGACCGCCTATAGGCAGCGCTCCCCGGCGCTCAGTCCTTTTGCTGGGCGGGAGAGCCCCGTGGTGTGGGCTGGGACGGCCCGGGGGTGCCACTGCCAGCCCTGCCTGTCTGTGTGCCCTCGGCGGGGACCGGGCGGCAGCGCCCGCCAGTTGGCTGAGGAGCCCCGGCACCGTGCTAGGGAGCGGAGCGGCGCCGGAGCGGGGAGAAGGCGGCAGCAGACGCTGGGGTCGTGGCTCCGGATGCTTCTGGGCGCTTAAAGCCGAGGCAAGGAGCTTTGCCTTCGGGACGCCCGAGCAGGATCTGCTTACCCCTGCAAGCGCCCACCTCCCTCTGCCGCTCCTAAAGGCGCGCCGTGCCTTGCCCCGGGCCGGGACCGCGCCCCGGGCCGCCCCGGCGGGCGAGGACCCCCATCCCCTGCCCCAGCCCTTCTCGGCCCCCGCGGCCCGCGGACAGCCCCGCCGCCGCGGGGGCCCGCGGTGGGGATACGTACGGCGTGGGGGATCCGACGGCGGACGGGGCTCCGCGGGACGCTCCATGGGCGAGCCTAGAGGGGCTGAGTGCCGCGGCGCAGCCCACCACCCCTGCGCATCTCCTCGCCGCGCTCCGCGCCGAGGTGTCCCGCGGCCGCTGTGCATCCAGCGCAGGCACTGTCAGGACGGCGGGGCGGCTGGCAGGCTCTCCCTCCCTTGCCTCCCCTTCTCCACACACGAGCAGGATCCGCCGAGCAGGACACTTACGGGAGGAGGGAGCTGCCCGGGCTGCCCGCTCGCCTTCGGCGGGGGGCGCGGGCAGGAGCGGCGGCACCGGCGCTCCGGGGCGTCCAGCGCGATTTGTCTCTATTAAAAATGACTTATTGGCGAGTGAGCGGCGAGCGCCTGCTATTTAACTTCAGATAAAATCTATCTGCAAAGACCTTGGCCGATCATCTTAAAATAAGGGGGGGGGGGGGGGGGGGGTCCGAGGCTCGGGGGGGGGGGGGGGGGGGAGAGCAGCGGAGGGGGGGGGGGGGGGGGGG